GAGACATTTAACCTCACCCTCTATCACTGCATTTCCTGTACACTAGTATGTATGTATGTATGTATGTATGTATGTATGTATTTATTTACTAGAGGCCCAATGCATGAAATTCATGCAAGAGTAGGCCTTCCTTCCCCTGGCTGCTGGCACCAGCTTCCCTCCAGCACCTGGGACCTGGGCTTCCCTCCAGCCACTGGCAGGAACCCAGGACCCTGGCTTCCCTCGCAGCCCCAGCTTCATCCGGAAGGTCATTCAGAAGGACGTCCGGAGGATGTCTGGTCTAATTAGCATATTATGCTTTTATTATTATAGATATTTTAACTGTACAAAATTAGCCTGGGAAAGGCAAACTTCTCATTTGATTTGACAAGTTTTCCTATGCGATTCTTGATAGGATTGACCTATTTATAAATAAGGGGCCTACAAAACAAACCTAATTGTTTCTAGCTTTTTTTTTTTTTTGGTAGGATTTAGGAAAAAATCTTGTGATTTCCTAGGGGTCCTCTGGGAAAATTTAAAGATTGTTCAGGTATAAAAGATATCGTGGAATTTTTTTTTCTGAATTTAGGGTCTGATCTTAGTAAGGCAAAATCAAATATTAACCAGAAATTTTATCACTTGAATAATATAGGCTTGTCCATGTCTTTGTCCATGTCTTTGTTTGCAGTTTGGTTACCTAATAATTAAGTGACAATAGGTTATTTTATAACAAACGAGAAGTCTTAAATCATTTAGAATGAGGAAGATTTTTGTCATTTTAAAAATGCAAGGACATATTCCAGTTAGCATAGGTACACAAAGTTCCTCTTGTGAGATACCAAAACTGCTTTCTGGGCAGATTACACACAAAAATGAATTTTCCCTGCCTTTTGTAAGCATAGGCTGATTTCTCCAAGATGAATGTTCCGTTTCAGTAAAGATAACTGCATTGTAGTTTTACATTAATAGGGTACTTGTCAGGCATTACATTTAACAAAAATAAGTACTTGATAAATAAACCTTTATAAGCTTTGCCAGAATTTTAACATCTTACTCTGTCTTTATACACTTAACTCTTTGCAGGTGTTACATACAAACCAAGTCACATAAAGCTCCGTTTCTGCAGACCTACAATTTTAAAATTTTCATCAACTTTTTTCTTCGCGGTTTTCTTTCATTCTGGAACAGCCAGAAACTTTAAGACAAAGGTCCTTAAGATATTGGAAATTAGGTTTAAGCCGACACATCACAGAACATACTTATTATTGATATTAATAATATCCTTAAAATTATATCCTTACAATTTTGTTTAGTTGAGCACACATTTTATATTTTTTTGTAATATTAAGCATCATATGAAAGTAACTTAGCTTATCTTTGAAGTAAACTAATGTATGACATTTAAGAAGTTCAGATAAACTAATCTCTTTATGATAAACCAAATCCAAACTATTTAAAAATGAAATTATACTTGAATTATACTATATACTGATTAAATAAGGAAAAGGCAAAGAGCTGTTTTTAAAATAAGATTATCAAGTCAGTCTGACTTATATAAGCATTCACTTTCATCATGGAAATGTATTTCCTAGGGGGAAAAATACTTTATGAAGTCAGCAGTTTTGATGAGAAAGCTCTTTTTCTCAAAAAGGAGCACATCAAAATTCTTAGAATTTTATTTTCTAGAATTTGGGAAATGTGAGATTTATTTAAATGCTATTACTCTCTATAAACTAATCAGAAGCAGAGGTCCTTATATTTTAATTTATTACTGTCCTCAGGAGGTAGGAAAATATTTCATCCACACAAGTGATTCCCCCCTCCCCCTCGAACTCCCCCCCTCATCTCAGGTACAGAGCACAGACAAATAAAGAACTTAGAGGGTAAGTTCAATGGCCTCTGCTACAGATCAAAAGTAAACATTGGAGCAAGACTAATCACTTTTCCACTGGGCACAAAGTATTGTCCTGATTTGAACTCACAAATAGAAAAACAGCAAACCAGTTAAAGCCAACAATAAACAAATGTCCAGTCATCTTTCACCTGAGCAAGACTAGATTCCAGTCCTACTAGACAGATCACCAAGTGGTCAGACCACAGAACCAGATTCCCAGTCATTGCTGCCACCAATGGGGATAATAACTACAGGTTGTTTGCAAACCAAAACCCCAATCAAACTTGGCTGAGAATCCGAAACAAAAACAAAAGCACAGGGTAGGAAAACAAAACCTTCGGAGAATATCCGGGCAGTGACGGTCAAGATCTACTGCCATTTAGGATTTGCTCCAGGAGCCAAGGCAAGCAGTGCCTGGGCTTCCAGCCCATGAGGTATATACTTCCTGAGCGATGCTGTCCACTTGGACTTTTCACTGGGACTTCCAAATGGTCAAGGCATAATTTTCAAAAAATAAACACAACTCTTACACAAATCAGAATGAATAGATGCCAA